AAACTTAAAAAAAAAAACTAGTTAAAAGGCTGAGATGTAAAGACTGAGGTTCAAAGCCCAGTCTTGACTTACAAATCTGAGACGCTTATCTCTAGCAAACCCCTGAAGCAGTAGAGTGGTAGAGTGCCACCCATGAGCATAAAAGCTAACTGACACACAGGCTCTAAGTTCAAACCCCATTATTGGCACAGACACTTAAGGAAAAAAAGGACATGTGTGTGTGTGTGTGTGTGTGTGTGTGTGTGTGTGTGTGTGTGTGTCTTAGGTGGTAATAGAGCAAGTGTCTAGCAAAAGTAATAAATCCCCAGTACCACCAACCATTCAACCAACCAACCAACCAACATAAAATCATCTGCATAGCTGAAATGAGGATTTCATTGCCACTTTACCAGGAAAAAGAATAGTTTTGTTACTTCTGCAAACTACAGGCTAGCTCTATTACCCTCATTAACTTTTTTTTTTTTTTTTGTTTTTGTTGGTCATGGGGCTTAAACTCTAGGCCTAGGCGCTGTCCCTGAGCTCTTCAGCTCAAGGCTAGTGTTCCCCAATTTGAGCTACAGTGCCACTTCCGGCCCTTTCTGTTTATGTGGTACTGAGGAATTGAACTCAGGGCCTCATGATGTGAGGCAAGCATTCTACTGCTGACCTACCTTCCCAGCCCCAACCCTCACTTATTAACTTCTAATTTGCAGAGCGCAACAATGCACTTATGTCAAAGCTGCACAGCAGATCACCAAGAGAAATGTCTCTCATTTTCAGTTACACTGTCAGCGGAAGGTATATATTTATATGGTGGAGAGCTCTCCCCAAATAGAGGAAGTGATTTAGTTGCTGGGTAACTAAAAATATGCAAGTATGTATAACCCTTCCTCATGAGGCACAAATTTTGCAGATTGGCTTAATTTAACTATCTTTCCCTCATACCCCACACCCTATCCATTAACACACCTGTCAGTTTCATCTTAAAAATATATCAAGATCATGACCATTTCCCTCAGGTCTACCACCACTAGGGTAGATCAAGTATTCCTTACCTCTTGATACAGTTATTGAATCTGCCTCCTGATTAGTCTTCAGGTTTCACATTTGGCCCCATACTACCTTCAACATAGCAATCAGAGTTGTTTAAAAACACATCAGAATGTCTCATACCTGTACTCCAAGTCCTCCAGTCCTTCCTATTTCATTCAGGGAGAATGCCTAAGTGATCACAATGACCTAGGAGGCCCTGTATGACCTTCTATTTACATTCTTCCTCTGATTTCTGATTTCAGTATCTTCTATTGTCTTTTGTGCTGTTGAATCTGCCCAGAATTTTATATATTGGCTGTGTACCAGTTGGTCACTTGTAATCCTAGGCTGAACATAGAAGGTTGAGGTTCAAAGCCAGCCTGGGCAGAAAGGTCTGAGAGACTCCATTTCTAACCAGAAAAAGGCTGGGTTAAAAGTATAGCCCAAGTGTAGAATGTTAGCCATAAACAGAGCAGGATTAGGAGGCCCTGAGTTCAAGCCACAGAATTATCAACTCAGGATATCACATGGTATTTTTTTTTCAGTTGTGGGGCTTGAACTAAGGGCCTGGGCATTGTCCCTGAGCTCTTTTGCTCAAAGCTAGTATTTACCACTAGCTCTATCACTTCGAGGCATAGACCCAGTTCCAAGTTTTTTGTTTTTTTGTCTTTGTTTTTTTTTTTTTTTTTTGAGTAGTTAATTGGAGATGAATCTCACAGGGACTTTTCTGCCCGGGCTGGCTTTGAATCTCAATCCTCAGCTCTCAGCCTCCGGAGTAGCTAGGATTATAGGCTTGAGCCACTGGCACCCAGAACATGGTACTTTCTTTGCCAGGAATTTGTTTGTTTGTTTTTTTGGGTCAGGTTGTGGGGCCTGAACTCTGGGCCTGGGCACTAGCCCTCAGCTTTTCAGCTCAAGGCTAGCGCTCTACCACCTGAGCCACAGTGCCACTTCCGGCTTTTTTTCTTTTTGCTTATGTGGTGCTGAGGAATTGAACCCAGGGCCTCAGGCATGC